GAAGATTGTTCTTGCTGATGGTTTGTTGTCTGACTCATGGAGAATATTCCTTGAATTCAAACAGGAGAATGAAATCTTCGAGACTCAATTCCTCGTGCAAGACATCAATAAGATACCGATCTTTCAAACCATGTCCGATCCCAGTGGAAAAGAGGAGATTCTTTTGTACATGAATGGACCTCGTGACCTTGTAGAAAAGTATTTGGTGTATGTAGTTGGAAATCAAAATGAGTCAATCTTAGAATTCATACCTATGGGCTCTCAGTATTTCTTCCGTCTTCCAGTTGTCAATTACACCCATTTGAATGACCCGGTACCTGTTCAAATTTATGACAGTGCTCAAGCGCTGAACTTAGCTTACTTTGTGTATAAACCAAGGTTTGCCAGTCTGTTGAGTGTCATTCCAAGCTCTGTGATCATCAATAGAGTTGTCACGGTTACGTTGAACGTCAGCAGTCTTTTCTACGTCTCGAATCGTACGGGCACATTGAGGATACTTGTCGGCAATGAAATGGCTCCGGATTGGAAGGTCATCACCTCCGATCATTATTACACCACTCTCAATGTAAGCGTCCCTCCTCTGTCGAATGTTGCCTCAACCTCGGTCACCGTTGAAGATTTATTGACGCGACAGTCGTGGTCTACGGAATTCTTAGTAATGGCTGCACCCAAAGTAGTAGAAGTTATTCCGTCTAGAGGTCCAGAATCTGGGTTTCAAGTGACGGTGACTGGACAGTACTTTCCCGAAGTCTACGACACTCGAAACGTACAGATACAATGTTCCAACAAGCAAGGGAGAGTGGAAAAGGTCTTTTGGTCCACCATCTGGTTCACAGCCATATTGGACACTCCCTTGTTGACAGGAAACACCCGAACGAGTTGCAGTTTGTTGCTTCATGGTGGTGTGATCGATCGTTTCAACCTAAGCATATACCAGAACCCCACCGAGCTGTTGAGATCTGATCAAACCGTAGCGATCAATAATACGCTTAGAATTGACCTTGATGTTCAGAACGCTCCAGAGAGCTCAGCAAATGCCATACTTCAATTGCAAGTATTGAACTCTCAAATGCAGTTGTTGGGTGGCGCAAAGATTCTATCATATGTTGCTGAAAGCCTGGCGATAGAGCTTCCTCCATTAGACTCCGGGCACTACATTTTGTATTCAAGGCAGCTTAACGCAAGGAATTTACTTCCCTTCGTCGTTCCAGACCCGTCATCTCCATCCATTACAAGAGTGAATCAAGATGTCGGCTACTCCTTCATTCTGACCCTGAATGGAGCTCCTATTTCAAATGAGTACATTGTGAAGTGGTCGAATGTGTATGGCACTGTATTAGAAGCAAAACAAGTGAATACTCAAACAAGTTTACATTTATACTTTCCTGCCAGACCTTCCCTTGATATTTCTGGAAGTGTATTCGAAGTGTGTTCGAGGCTACAACCAAAATTCCATTACATCATTGGCTATGTTTGGAATAATTGTTTTACCAAACAAGCTGTTCTAGATGCCCATTTCACAACCATTCATCTTGAAATCTCAGAGGAATGCAAATACGTGGGGTTATCTTCTGATTGCCTCACCCTGTTCGACTTGGATTCGCAGATTAGCTTCGGCTCTGGAAGTAAATGTCTCATGGATAATGCTCATACCTTGACAGTCTACCTCGGCTTGGATTCTTCCATTTTGCCTGGACACAAGGGAAAGCTGTTCGAATATTTGCCACCTATTGCAGACCTGGATGTTGTACAAGTTCCTATTGACTTCGTGGTGACCACAGAAGGTGTTGTCCTGCCGCCTGTTGGAGAGTTGTGGGGTTCTACTGTCATAGGACCGAATGACATGGCATCCATTGGTTTTGTCGGCCCTTCAATGCGCATTCTTCAGTATGAATGGAGGTTCATACCATCATTCAACACTAGTAGTAGCTCACTGCAAGCAACGTTCAACACTTTAATTGGAATTCATGAGTCGACGCTATCAGTGCCAGCATTTCTCCTTGGATCAGCATTAGAATACATCTTTGAGTTACGAGTGACAAACTTTCATAACAGAAGCAGTTTGTTCCGACATTCTTTGCGTGTCGTTCCGCTGTTTTTTCCAAGTTTAATTTTGCAGTATCCTTCAATAGCTCAAAATTCAACGAAAGTTGATGTGATCGCAAAGTCATCATGTCAGGGATATAGCTGTATCTTACAGACCCAGAAGTTGAACTCAATGTCGTTTGTTGTGGAGGAACTTCTGTACCCAATGCACAAGAAATTCTTCTACTCCAATGAAACACTGACATTTCCTTCAGACGGTTCAATTGCCAATGAGTACAGGATCAAACAAGGAGGGCTGTTCACAATTGATTGGTCTCATTTCGGTTCTATCGATCTCAAACAAGAGGGTGCAAGTGTGCTGCCTCGGAACTTTGTTAGAAATGGGTATCCGGTGCTAGTCGATGGCAATGGTACTCTGATTCGACTGGAGCTTTGGTATAAATTTGATCTTGCAACTGGCATGGTCAATGACTCCAGTGGAAATGATTTCAATGCATCGCTTAGTTACGGCATGAAATATTCAACTCAAGGAATCAAAGGAACGAATTCTGCCATCTTCCAGACTTCGTTGGATTCGTCTTTGCAAATTTCGATTGACTTGGATCTTCAGCAAAATGTGGGTTACTCCATTGCTGTTTGGATCATGTTCACAGTAAAGTCTGGGAGAAACAGTGTAGCAATCAACTTCGGGAATGAAGCTGGGACTAGCAGGTTCATCATTGGCAGGTATGAAGACTCTCAGTACCTCATCTTCGGGCTGTTCTCGGGAAACCGATCCGTGCTGAACCTTACTTCCTTTCCGGGGATAGATGACCAGTGGCATCACTACGTTTTGTCCCTTCTCCCCGGAGCAGAACCCTCAGGAAACAACTCCGTGACATTATGGATAGATGGGAACGAATATTTCACCTCTCGGACGGTCCCCGAATATGTCAACTTACTTTCAGGTTCCCCAAGGACGTGGTTCCTAGGCAAGCCTGCACGGTGGACTGACATGTCGTTTGACGGACAAATGGACGACTTGCGTTTGTATAGGCAGCCATTGACCAACTCGCAAGTGAATATACTCTTCTACGGGAACTTGTATCATCTCCGCTACTTCTACACAAACCAATCAAACATTGTTGTCAGCAATATTGGAATCTCTCGCCTTCCTGGTTCCACTGTAGATCAAGAATCATTCCTTGCTTCACTTTCGTCTTCAATCGCTACATCTAGGATAGAGTTCAACTCCACTAGCTCACAATTCGCAGTGAACAGCTCAAGAATTGCCACGAATCTCAGCTACAGTGCTGAAAGTTATGACTTTCAAGTAGGAATAAGCCGAGCATACTCGCCCTTGTCCTTTCAGCTACCGGGAAAGATCCGAGTACTGCCAGCAGATGCCCATGCAATCATCCGTGTTGACAAGCCATTGGCTACATCAAAGCATATCATCTTGAACGGCTCACTTTCATATGATTCTCAAACGGGTCCGAGCTCTGTTGATTACAATCTCGAATGGAAATGCTTTGAACAATTCTCAAAGTGTCTATTCATGAACGCTCCTTATTCTGGAGCAGTTTTGAACATATCAACGTTGGCTTTACAACCTAATACACGATATGAATTCGAGTTGCGCGTCAGTACTTCTGATGGCAGAGAATCAAGTTGCTTCGTCGAAATTCTTGCTGACAGCAATCGCGGTTTGCAATTCTTCACGATCAGCCGAGTGAATTTGAGTGAAGTGTGGGATCGATTCGAAGGCAACGTGAGCATCATTCTTGTCGACTCTCAACATCCCGTGCTGAGCCTCAAGGAAGTAGGATACTTCCCTCCTCTACACGAGATGGCCAACTTGATCTCCTTTTCATCATTGCAGGCCAACATCGCTTCATTCAAGCTGCCTTTCATCGACGGATATCAAATACAGGTGAAACCTATGAGGTATCGACTTCCCGGACTCCTTACTTCTCTACTTTTCCTTGATAAATCTCTTACTCAATTGCGACGAGGTGTGTGCAACATTTATGAGGATTCATTCTATATTTCAAACCTCACCGTCCCTGTTTCTGGCATTGCTGTCGAATGCTCTTCTTTCTATTCCCGAGACGTGCCTTTGACCTACAAGTTTGCCGCTGATCTGAATGGAAAGCAAATGAGCTTCTTGCGCACCTTCGAACCCACTTTGGTGTGGTACATCTTTCCTTCAGGAAATCTGCAAATGACTGTCACTGTACAAGATTCCAAGGGTGCAATCCAGCAAGTGAAAACAAACCGTGTAGCAATCAATGGCTCAAGAACTTTGATAGACATCTCTAGCTACTCAAGCACATTCATTATGGACTTTTGGCTGGTCTCACAGGATTATCAATCTACATTACAATACATCTTTGTCGCATGCATTCAAGGGTTGAACTCTGATTCTCTAACAGTCGTGTTACAGTCTTTGAAAGGAATTGCTGGCGTCCTCATTCAGTCCAATTCCTTTGATCTTGCAGTGTTGGAAGCACTGAATCTTGTTATTGAAACTCAACAAGCATTTGGGATGATTCACTACCAACTTCTTTTAGACTTGTTAAAGGGAATTTCATATTCTTCTGTGTTGGGCGGTGTTATCACGTTTCAAAATGCTGAGTTGGTGGGAAACATCAGTTCTCAACTTGTTCGACTTAGTCAAAAATCTGCTCAGAATCCTGACATTCAGAAATATATTTTGAATGCTGCCATTTTGTTCTTGCAAACTTGCTTCTCCGTGTTAAATTACAGTGATTTAGTCATGAGTCCATTGTGTAGTTACAGCCCCACAGTCACGACTTGTGTGAGGAATTTGTTTTTTCAAAGCGATTCAGTGATAGACATTGCGCAAGACCAAAAAGCCTCCATCACGCTGACACAGGAGGTGAACGCGTTCCTGGTCTTCAATTACTTGCCCAACACACAAGGCATGCCAGGATCCATCGTGTCAGGGTTGCTTACGTTGTCTCTCGTTGACGACAAGGTTACAGGCGCCTGCTCCACCTCTCCTTGTTACTTCGAGCTTGAACTACCAGCCGATGTCTCGCACCTCCCGCCCTCTATGCAGGATCAGTTCTTTGCTGGTACAGGAGCTGTCTGCGGCACTTGGAACAAGGCAACGGGAGGTGCTTCTTCCAGCAACTGCAATCTCATCTCAACGACGAGAAGTTTGAACATGTGGGGTGAAAGCACGGGCTACGGTACAGTCAAGTGCATGTGCCGCCTCCAGGATGGAACATTTGCTGCTATCATAAACGCCTCGCATACTAAATTTGTTGCTCCGTCGCCCATATCCAACGATGTCTACATGTTGCATTCGGGCAGCAATCTTGCTGTCGACTTGTTCGTTCAGTCCGTGGGGATTCCAATCATTCACGTGATGGACAACATGGCGCAGGTTGCAATCTCTCCCGAGAAATCCGTCGTTGTGAAAGACTGTGGGTGCTCGTTGTATCAATTCAGGTACACAAACTTTCAGTTAAAGACTCAGAATTTTTCTCTAGCCTTCTACCTGATCGATGGCAATGCCACCAGGGAAACCATCTCGCTCTTCGTGCAAGTTCTCTTCTGCCAGGATGTACTTCTCCCCGGGCAGAACGTGATCGACTTGGCGCAGAGACACCACTTAGATTGGCAAGCTCTTCTTACCCTCAACTCTGAGATCCTGAACCCCAAAGAGATTTATTTACAGCCACCACGAAGGCTGTGGACCTGCTCAGAAACTTTGCAAGACTGGGGCCACTGTAAGCTCGAAGGGCTCACGGGGTTTGCCATCTTGCGCATAGGAAAGATCCACCGCATCCATGCTGAGAGACTGCTAGGAGTCATTCACAGCTACCGAGCCTCGTTCACACAAATTGTGAAGAATAACGTTGGTCGTCTTGGCATCAGTAAGAACATCACAGACTTCTCATCGTATGAATCAATGGTTTTGAATTCAACAATTGCCAACAACATAGCACCTGAAGGTGAAGAAGTTTGTATCGTCTCTGACTTATCAGATGTTTGTTACGTTTAGCTTTGGATAAAAGTTGTTGTTTCGGTGTTCGTGAATAAAAGCTAAATCAACCCAAGTCGTCAGCAGGTGCTACTCTGTCGCTTAATCATACTTTCATGCTACTCTGTCGCTTAATCATACTTTCAATATCAAACAAGTGATCTAATTCATAATCATCCGAATAGAGCATTGGTAGTCTACACGTTTAGAGATACACTGTTGTAAATGACAAAGTTTAAGTTAATACTTGACACCCAAACTACAACTGCGCACAACTTCCTTGTCTACAAATCTAAATCCATGAGAAATCTTCACGTTGACCGCACTTCTTGCAACTCCTCGAAGCAAGACTGATCGCATTCATCTATTGAGCTCCCTTCCTACGCTTCACATTAGCTTCTGCAGTCTCCACTGAGCGCTCTTCAGGCGCCCGAGCTTCGGAGGGAGGAGGAGCAGGTGTAGCCTCAGTGGAAGATGCGGCTTGCTCAGGTTTGACTGAGGAGGGAGGAGGAGGGGCTGTCTTGTCATCTGCAGAACTTTGTCCGGGTCGAGTGCCTTCTACTTTGCCCTCTCGATTGGACGACTGACCAGCAGCTGAAACTTGAGGTTCTGCGGTAGATGAAGGATCCGACCGGACTGGTTCTGAAGAAGGGCCAGGAGCAGTGACAGTGGCCGACGTAAGAGTAGACTCTGATGCTTCTGCCACACTGGCAGCACTGGCACCTTCAGCTGCTGTCGAAGAACCACACTCCTTGCATGCTGTGCGCACCTTCCCATGCTGACAGATACTGGAGCCTCCACAATCTTTGCAACGGTTTCGTTCCTTCCCATGCTGGCAGATGCTGTTGCCTCCGCACTCCTTGCATCTTGAACGAATCCGACGATGTGGACAGATGCTGGAACCTCCACACTCCTTGCACCTTGCACGCTCCCTTCCATGATTACACAAGCTTGAGCCACCGCACTCCTTACACAGCGAACGTCTTTTGTTGTGCTTGCAGATACTTGATCCGCCACAGTCTTTACAAGAAGCTCGCTGTCTGTTATGCTGGCATATGCTCGTGCCCCCACATTCCTTGCATAGCGAGCGTCGCTTTGAGTGTTTGCAAATGCTGGACCCTCCACAGATCTTGCATTGAGAGCGCCTTCTATTGTGTTCGCAAAGACTGGAACCTCCACATTCTCTACACCTTGAGCGTCGTTTACCATGCGTACATATGCTTGATCCTCCGCAATCTTTGCAACGTGCACGAATCCTCCCGTGTTCACAGACAGACAGCTGTTTCTTCCGCGGCTTTCCTTTGCCGTCCACATCCATCTCAGAAGATCCCTCTTGGTTTCCTTGCACACTCTTGGCATTTGGGGATGCTATCGTAAGGATGTCCGCCACAGTATCGGGTACCTGATCCTCTTTTACGTTCATGGCGGCAGCGGCGGGAGTGGCGGCGGTGCTGGGAGGAGCATTAGCCCCCTGCGAAGCAGCTGACGGCAAAGTTGTCTGCAAAGCAGGTGCGGAGCAATCAACCGTCTTGGGAGGGTCTGTCTGAACCTTGTTGTCCATCTCCACCTGCATAGCGCTTTGCCCAGCGAGTATGGAAGTGCAAAGTCCTAGAAAGCCCTTCACACCAACCCTTGTTGTTTATGTGATTGAATACCGTCCTCTCGCTCCTCGCTCCTCGCTCTCGCTCCTCGCTCCTCGCTCCTCGTTCTCTTACTTATATCCTCCTCTCTTCCTACTTCCTCCTCCTCCTCCTCCTCCTCTGCCTCTCTCCGTCTAGTCTGCTGCCCTGCCTGGTCTACCCGGTCCTCGGCGACGTATGCTTCCTCTCCGCCAAGGTAGAACGATTGCCCGTTATAAATTCACCCACCAGATTCAGCGTTTTCATAAATCAGTATAAACCAGGGGTACATGAATACATTATATTATACGCATGTTTCTGTCACAGTTACTTACTAAATACTTAACTATAGCTTTAGAAATGCTAATTTGTTTATTAATTTTCAAATTTTAGTATTCTATTTTCTATTTCATGTTTCATTTTGAACCATGCTGCCAAATTCTCAATTTTTCTTTTTTGGATCTCTTGTCGCGGTGTTCGCTTGGCAACCAGACGGAGGGGTCGGTATGAGGGTCTAGGTGGTTTTAGGATCTTTATTGGACAGCTCCTAGGATGCTGTATGTGTCTATGGCTGGGTCCTAGGATAGGTCTAGGAAAGTACCATGGAAGGAGCTGGTCCCTTGCAATACGTTACATCTACGTTACATATCTGTTGCATCCGGCGGCGGGTCGCCCGGCCGCGCGCTCAAGGCTCCGAGGCCTGGGAGTCAGTGGAAGACTCAACCGACTCGGCATCGGAGACTTCGGGGGCCGTCAGGGTAGGAGGCGGCAGATGCTTCCTCCTAGTCGCCACGGAGAGTCGAGTCGCGGGCTCCGATTGCTCCGAGCTCGTCTCAGAGCCAACCGACTCCGCGATGCTCCCCCCGGCGTCGTCCTCGATGCCATCGCCATGCTCGAGCAAGGGTCTCCTTCTGCCTCGCACGGGAGGAGGCGAGTCATGAGGGGAGGAAGATGAGGAGGAAGCGTCCTCGCACTCCTCCATCTCCTCCTGCTGCTCTGCAACATGTATCTTGCGAAAGGTTGTCCCTTGTTCTCTCCTCCCGCGCTCCTGCTCATCTTGACGCCGGACAGCAGAAGCTCTCTCCTCACGCCGTCGCAAGCGACCTTTCAGCGCAGTCTGGATCGTCTTGGCTGCTTCCTGTTGGCGCGTGACCCCCCTGACAAAGACTCGCCTGCCCTCCTGTTGGTGAGTTGCCGTGACCTCCATCCTCCTCACGAGCCGGAGGGTGCCAGGAAGCTGAGCAGAGTCGGGGAGACTGCTCTGCACTAGCCGACCGAGGAGAGAGGAGAGCATCGAGGCATCGCGTTTGTCTGCTTGGCGTAGGTCTGGCAAGAAGGTGAGGGAGACTACGACAGCTGAGCTGGTGGTCAGCTGCGGCTGGGAGGAGAGGGAGAGATCGGGGCAGAGGAGAGCTTCTTCTTCAAGGACGGCTGAGTCAGGCGCCTTTTGAAAGAGATGAATTTGATCCTTCGCCCTGCTCCAGTCACTTGCCTTGTCTTCCCCGAGCCCCTGGAGGGCCTGTGAGATCTGAGTTAGCAGCAGCGGTGGAGCTTGTTTGACGTGCTTGACCGCTACTCGCTCCCTGCCAGCACTGACTGCGCGCGCGACGTCTGCGGTCAGGGATGCGATGAAGTCAGCGAGAGGCTGAGGAGGAAGAGGAGCGGGGAGGTTCCGGTGCATGACCAGCTTCCCGTCCTCTACAGCCACCTCGTCGAGGATGAGGAGGACAGGAGACGGCGAAAGCTTCTTCATGCACTGGGACTGCCTCTGACAGATCCTCCAGACGCTAACGACCTTTCCTCGCTCATCGTCGATGTGCAGGTAGAAGTTTCGACTTGGTGGACTGAGCATCTTCATCGTCACCTTCATCTTCTCTTCCGTCTCTGTCACTTCACACCTCCCCACGACCTGATAGTTTGTCACGCTCATTGCACAGGAAAAAACATGGAGACCTCTTCCGAGACATGTACAACCGGGTTCGGCGGAAACTGTTCGCTCGACGAGCAAGCTTTCTTGTCAAGCTCCAACAGCAAGTCGTCTTTGGAAGAGATGTCTGCATCATGCTGGAAGAAAGAGCAGACATCGAATATCCATTGCTCTCGGATCTTGTTCGCGTCATGGGGATCAAGAACGCACGTCAGGAACTGCATGTCGGAAGTCTTCAACATGTCATGTCTCTTCTTCATCATCTTCACCGTCTTACAACGTTGAGCACCTGCAGCTCCGATGGCCTCCCACCTCCCACCGACCCAACGGACAGTTTCACACGACAGCATAAGAGCATTGCTTTCACTGTCTCTTTCCTTGCCCCCCAGAGACATGACAACACGGTAGCAGACAAGAGAAGGAGACTGATTTCCCCACCTTGTTCCCGGCACTATCATCTCATGCAGACTCCTATGCTCCTCTCCCTGCAGCCACATCCGGCAAAAGTCCTTGAGGTAGACACGAATCAGACATGTGGGGACAGGCCTGACGAAATTGACGAGAACCCCAAACTCTTGCGACCGAGCGAGTCCATGAGCTGACGACTTGAAGTTGGTGACTACCAGCCTCCTCGTCCCCTCCATCTCCTCACAAGGCCTCAGCAGCACGAGCAGCACGCTCGCCTCCCCCTGCTCAGGCACCAGGACCCTCACACGGCACCTCGACTCGACCACCAGCCTCTGCTCTTGCCGAGCCCGGCACATCCTCTCATCCTCCACATCGAAGGAACAGAACTCCGAGTGCTCGTCCTCGAAGCTCACCACGAACCACCCTTCCTCCCTCCCCCTGTTAGCAACCTTATGCTCCACCTGCTTTCTCCTCACCCCGCACGGCACCATCACCACCTTGTCCTCCTCCTTCCACCGCCCCTGACTATCAAGCAGCCCCCGCCGGTTCAGCTCCAGCTGGACCCGAGCAAAGGAGTCACCAGTTGGCTTTTGGAGCTCGGCACTCCTTCTGCTGGCAACCAGCAGGAGTCTCCTCCTCGCCCGCTGCTTCTTCTGCCATTCGTCCTCCTCCATAGAGCAGATCAGCTCTTGTAACTTGGGGTAAGACACGACCTTGAGAGAATGCTTGACAGAGCGGATTATGTCACGATTTGCGCTCATCTTCTTCTTGGCAGCTGAGACCAGCTCGTCCTCCCCCTCCCCTGTCTCCTTCTGCCTTCTCTTGTCATCCTTGCGCTCCATGTCCAGCCTGAAGGTCGCAAGGGAGCGCTGACTCGTCACGTTGAGCTTCGCCGGATTGACCTTCTTGGCTCGCAGCATCTCGCATGCCGAGACGAACTCCCTCCACTCGCTGCAGCTCTTGATCGCCGAGCGTACGAGGGAGAGGCTGGCAGCCTGTCTCCTCTCCGACGAGATCAGTCGGACAGAGCAGAAGGAGACGAATCGATGGAGCTCTACCCCCGCAGACGAGTTGCCGCACATCGACCTCCACAGCGCGAACATGGACGACGGAGCGAAGTCGACCTGAGCCAAGATGAGCAGGAGACAGAATGAATTCGTCCATGCACAACTCAAGCATCTCATCGGGGTACAACCTGTAGGAACTTGAGCACGTTCTCCAACCCGTGCAGGTCAAGCACACCAACGGCGGCAAACCTGTCGATGACGGTCAGCCATGGACCAGCTCCTCCTCCTTCACCTCTTGAAGAGACTCTGAGCAGGGATGAACGTGTGCAGACTTTGACCGCACATGGCGAAGAGAAGGGCGCGGCAGAGGCGGGTCAGAGCACCTCGAGCAGCGTCGTCTACCTCATCTAGATCCTCCATCATCTGCTCCCCCAACATCCTCAGTTGCAACGAGTAACGACGATCGTAGAAGAGCCGCTGGAGGTCGACAGACATCGTTCGATCTGAACCATCAGCTTCTTGCCCCATCGCCATCGCCTGTCTGAAGGACCTGACAGCAGCTTGCAAGTGAGATTCATCAAGGCTGAGACATCGGAGGATCAGGCTGAATCTCTCTGCCGACAGCTCCACTTCGCTCCATCTGCGCTTCGACTTCCCAACTTCCGTTGAGTTGCGGAAAGACGCGAAATCTCTCAGTTCGTCCAAGATTTTCTCTTTGCAGCACATCATCAACGCAAAGACCTCGCTCGCCTCCTGTAAGGCGTCTTGGTCGTCGCCCTTCCTCGTCTCTTCCTCCTGCTCATTCACGTTGGCTGTCTTGCCGCCATCACCAGGCCCTTGGCTGCGGTTCCTTAGCGGCGATGCAGGAGTCAACTCCAAACTTTCTTTGGTCGGTATTCCGCTCGACAAAACTCGCAGTGCGATGGCTCCTCCTTTGTTCCAGCCCTGAACCTACAACGCGCTTGTGAGACGCCAGCACCATCACCTCCAACCCCCACCTGCACTTGTTTGCTGCTGCTGCAAGCGACTTGTGGGAGGGAGTTTGCAGTGTTGTCCTCTCCCAGCGGGGGAAGAAACGGCGAGACGAGAGGAGCGAACACGTGTCTGTGTCCCTCCCGGAAGATGCCTCTCAATGGGATTTCTATCTGCAGAAGTTCCAGTCGTCAGCAGCAGCAGACGCTATCGACTCGCTCAGACCGTTCCGATGCTGAACTTGGTCTCCGCATCCCACACGTCGACCAGGAGGGGATGCTGGTACACCAGGCCCAGGAATTCCGACCTCAGCAACGCCCCGCACTCGCTCAACATCAGCACGAACTCAAGAACCTGACCTTCTCCTCCTTCACTGTACAGCTCGCGCATGTCGTCGATGTCTCCGCTCGTCTTGATACTGAGGGATGCAGGTTTCGACACGAACCCCAGGTACTCCGCCGTGAAAACAAACTTATCGGGGATCGCAGTCACAAGGCTACTATCGTGAGACTCTTGGCTTCTCCTCTTCACTGGCAGCTGAACTGATACGAGCTCGACGACGATCCTCCACCCAGCACACTCTTGCTCACTATCCGGGGTTCCAACAGGTCCCGCTCCTCGTCCTGCCATGGTCGCCATTACTTGGGTGCCTTGGTCAAGCACCCAGTGGGGGCTCAGCAGTCGACTCAGGGCTGCTGAGCTAGGAGACTTCCTCAGCAAGTGACTTCCTCTGATCATGCTCGCTGACATCCGATTCGACTGCAGGAAGCGACTGAAGGCAAGTCGATCTGTTCCACAAGACCTTACAAACTTGTCGTTATCACCTTAATCACCTTCACTTTCATCCCATGTCCTCCTCATCCTTCGTCTTCATCCCAACATCGTCAGATCGTGATCTCCGCTCATGCTCTTGTTCATGCGCATATATACAGCTCACTGCAACATATTGTTGCTCGCACCATCGGGGAAACTTTCGAACCTGCCATGATCGATATGGTTCCTACCCCACCCCCTCTTGTTCACACTACCCCATCTTTATTCATAAATGTCGATATAAATCCCCAAGTGGGTACTACCCCCTTCACCCACCAGCACCTTGGGACACCATTCCTCCACATGGCAATGAAGCAGCCGCATCCTCGTCAGGACACGTGAAGGGGAGGGCGAGGAGGCAGGATGGAGGCGACAGAGGCGAGGGGAGGAGGGAGAGAAGAGAGGTGAGCAGCAGGCAGAGATGTGATGAGGACGAAGATGTCAGCTCAGAGACAGCCGAGGAGGTAGCGGGAGGGGTGAAGCAGTGACAGCGGCAACGGCGCGCTTCCGTACCTATGAAGTACAAGAGGACAGTTTCCTGGGCTCCGAACAGCGAGAGGTACTTTGCTCAGCTGTCAGTCCCATACGACAAGGTAGGAGGAACACTCCTGCACTTGTTCGAGTCGGTCGAGAAGCCAGCGACACCGTACTCAACGATCCGCCCGGCATGTCGATCGGTTTTCACTGAGCTGGACTCAGCCATAGTCACCTGCTTCGAATGGTTCCCCACTTCCTCGCTCCCCCTGTGCTTTGCCGCAGGAACGTCAACGGGGAAGGTCGTTGTCTCGTCCTTCGAATGCTTCGACAAGTAAAGCTTCTACTCTCGCGACAGCCCCGCTAACTGAGTCCTTGCAGGGAGCCGAGCGCCCCGTTGAGCATCGTACTGCATCGAGCGCAAGACAATCAGAATGGAAGGACGTGCAGCAGTTTGTCGTGGAATCCCATCAAGGTGATCCTGAGCAACATACAGGGGAGAAGAGTAACGGGTGTCTTCGCAGGAGAACCTGGTCCTGTCTGCCGCCAGTGGGGGCAAGCAGAAGGGAAACACGAGCGTTCATCTATGGGACATCAGCCAAGTACTGCTCTTCTCTTCCACTCGTTGAGCTCGACGGTGACGCCTGACGTGCAGACTGAAAGTCGACACTCCCTCTCTCAGTTCCTCGCTCCGGGCGAGAGTGGGGAGTCGAGCCATCAGGACGGCCATTCCAACGTTTCGAGCGTGTCGGAGGAGCTCAAAGATTTCAAACTGAGAGACAGGATCGCAGTCGTGAACAAAGAGACGCAGTCGTATGTTCAGGACGAGAGCTGCTACAGTCTCTCCTGGGTGTACGGGAACGGGGAAATTGCAGTGGCCGGCTGCTCCAGGTCGTTGAGGATCCTTGACATCAGGAAGCCGCAGGATGAGGTTTACAAGATCAAGACTCCCGTGCAGCTGCTGTCCATGGATCCTCTCTTCGAAACCAGAGTCGTCACCTACTCAGGGGATCAGACCGACTCTTTCCTGCGCGTCTGGGACCTCCGCAAGTTCAGTCAGCCTATCATGCACCTGAGCGCTGCCTCTCAGGTCCGCAGCCTCTCCTGGGCTCCATCCCGCGCGGGAGTCTTGTCGGCTCTGATGGGCAGCTCGTCGGAGAGTTACATCCTCCACTGGCTCCTCCGCAGCAACGAAGAATTCCTGGAGCTGATGAGCCAGGAGGAGCTCGCGCAATCCAGCTCCTCCCGATCGAGGAACCCCGCCGGGAGCAGCGCGCAAGGGGACGCCCTATGGGTGAGGAGGATGGACGTGGGAGGGGATGATGTGGTGAGCTACTCGTGGCATCCTCACCATCCCGGCCGGATCTTGACGTTGGGAGCTGACGACTCTCATCGAGACTTCGTCGTACATCACAGCGCGAGCTTGTCCTTCTCTCCTAACGGCCCTCTAGCCTTGTCCTCTGACCACATCTTGGCCGAGACTGGTCTGAGCGAGGGTAGTGTCCATATCGGTGACGGCAATGGCGACATCTGTGACGTGATGAGGGAGCGAGCGATCCGGGGGTACATGCTAGATCCGGACAAGAACTTTGACATCAGCTGCAAGATGGGATTCCAGGACGTAGCAAGAGCATGGCAGCTAGTGGCTCGTATGATGGTGAAGGATGTTGCTGGAGACCCGCAGGTGGGGTCAGCCACCATCGAGGGGCAGGGAGGCCACAAGGGCCAACCTCGAGATCTCATGTTCGGCATCGCCCAAGTCCTCGGCGCCCTTCCCAAAGGGAAGAGGATCGAAAAGACCATGCTGCGATCTACCAGGGATCGAGGCGCCGGTAGAGCGACCGGCTCGACGCAGCGGGCGCAGGAGGATCAGACGAAGGAGTCCAAGTCGTCGGGAGAGTCAGCAGGTTCTGCGAGTGACCTCACGTTCGCGGTCTATCTCTCCGACGCCCGCCTTCGCATCCTCAAAGTCTGTGACTACGACTTTGGGACTGGCTATGACGACGACGGTGACTTTGCGGGCAGCGAAGTTTTGGAGAAGAAGGTGACGCACATGCTGAGGAAGCAGCTCTTCGATCAGGCTGCCTTCACGAGGCTCCTCCAGGTGGACCTCAGCTCAGCCCTCGAATGTCTCCACAAAGGAGCAGCTTTCTCCTCCTCTTCCTCTGAGGCCCTTGCGGCGAGCTACAGCATGGCAGCGATGTCCATGGCAGGCTCGATCCATCCGCAGTGCCCGGTGTGGAAGCGAAGCTATCTGCAGATGATGGACTCGTGCAAGTCGCCTTATCTGCGAGCTTGCTTCCAGATCCTCGTCAAGGACTATGAGAGTATCCTTCGGAGCGAGCAGATCTCCGTCAGCGACAGGATCGCCTTCGCCGCTCGCTTCCTCAGCGATGAGGAGCTGGTGAGTGCGATCCAGCGAATGATCGAGGTCAAGGTGTCGACGGGTCAGCTCGACGGGCTGGTGCTGACGGGGCTGACCAAGGAGGCGATCCCTCTGCTCAACAAGTTCGTCGAGAACACGGCCGACCTCCAGACGGCTTCCCTCCTCCTCTGCTGCTTCTCCGCAGACGCTCTGCAGGAGGGCAGCAGCAAAGAACCGCGACAGGGCGCGGGGAACAGCAGCATGCCCGTGTGGGAGCTCTGGCTCGAGGAATACCGTGACCTGCTCGACCGTTGGCAGCTGTGGGAAGTTCGTGCTGTCCTCGACATCGCCATAGCAGATCGCGTGCTGGTCGCCAGGAAGCCCCCAGCTGAAGTCCACATCGCATGCTCGTCATGCGGCATGCCCATCACGCTCGCGCTCAAGGAGACCTCGCAAGCCAACGGAGGGAGTCGACAGGCTCTGGATGCGAACGAGCACAACTCTCCGACTGTCTGCAGGAGCTGTTCAGCAGAGCTCCCGAGGTGCGAGCAGCCCCAGCTGACGTCCAACTGACGTCCTGCAGGTGTTGCCTGTGCCTGATGCCTATGGGGTGCTCCAACGTGCCGCTGAGCTCAGCTGAGGCGGACTTCCCCCGGCTCCTTCAGGTCATCTCCGAGACCCCGACGGCGTCCTCCAGCTCAGGTGAGGAGAGGCGAGGAGTGATGGAGCTGCAGACTGACGGGAAGGCCCAGAGGTCTGCCGACCCCTCTACAGCAGGGCCGAGCTCGACAGCTGGTTCGCCTGGTGCGCTCAGTGCCAACATGGCGGGCACGTCGCGCATCTCCGCGAGTGGTTTCGACTTCACCGCGAGTGTCCCGTGTCGGGCTGCCAGTGTCTCTGCCTCTCCTACTCCGACTATAGAGCTTGACCCATTCATTCCTCCTCAACTTCCACCTTTGCTATCCTCACTTCATCCTCGTACAACCTCCCCTTCCTGACCCCTAAAATTCAACCGCTATCGTCCTCCTCCTCAGTAATTCCGCATGATCTCCGCCATGGGCTTGCGGTCAACGATCCCGTACTTGCGCAGAACGTCTGCGTGCAGCGTCAGCGAGATACAGAGGAAGGCAAGGGAGAGGACGGGGGCGAGAAAGGTGGGAAAGGGGGGCGGCAAGTGGGGGGGGGGGGGGGAGGAGGGAGGAAAAGGAATTGACCAGCCACGTCATCGAAGTGGTTTGATTCCGCCCACCACAAGGGACTTCTGAGGTTGGGGGACCTGAAGATGAATATGAGTGGACGCACAAGCTCTTCTCCCCCTCCTCCTCTCCCCCTCCTCCTCTCTTCGTCCTCTCCCTTGCCTTCCCCTCCGCTTCCTCTTCTTCCATTTCTGAAGCATTTCCCCTCCTCCCTCCTTACCTCGAATACACGTCTGCATTCAACGCCAGGAGCGTCTCTACCATCTTCAGATTCCCCGCCCTCGCCGCCATGTTCAGGGCGTCCCACCGATAGCAGCAGCGTGCGTTGACGTCCGCTCCTCGCTCCTGCTGTCGGTGAGGAAGGCAACAGCGAGGGAGAGGAGGAGGCAGAGGAGGAAGGTTACACGTTACCACAAGTTTCTTCACGATCGGGATGCAGTTATGTTCGATAGCCCAGTGGATAGCAGTTCTGAAATGAGGTGAGACGGAAGCAGCAACAACTCTCGTCCCACCTGTTGTCCGAAGTTCGGAGGTTCATGTCAGCGCCGAGGTCCGCCTGCAGGACGAGGACTCAGGGACGGAACGAGCTCACGAGCTCTTCGTGACGAACCAGGCAGTCAATCATCGTCACTGCCATCTCCGGGTGCTCCTGCATGCTCAGCCGTTACCCCCGGCGCTTCCACGACGTCACAGCCTACCGACTTGGCGCACCAGTGTATGGCTCCTTCGTTCCATTCGAAGGGCACCTTGTAACCCAGACAGTCAGATAGCGGAGGCAGGGAACGGAGGCAACCTTGTCCTGGTACAGCATGTCAGCTTGAGATCCGTTCACCAGAGCAACCCTCGCGTTCACGTCCGCCCCGAGCTCGTGCAGCCTGGCAGAGATTCAGGACGCTGGGGCATAAAACTTCCTTTCCTTCCTCCTCCCTCCCTCCTCTTCCATCTTCCTCCAGCATCTGCTCCTACTCCTTCTCAATACCCTCCGCCTCCTCCTCCTCCTCCTCCTGCTCCTGCTCACTTTTTGACCACACCCAGATGCCCCCGATCGGCTGCAATGTGGAGCGGAGTCCATCCCTCTCCGTCGTGAGCCTCCACTCTTGCCCCGCCTTGCCGCACGAGCGTCTCCACAACCTCCACGTGCCCCATCCCAGCAGCCGCGTGGAGGAGCGGGAAGGTTCCAGCCAGACCAGCCATGGAGGAAGCGTTCGCGCCCTGCTGGAGGAGTTTCTCGACCTGCAGGAGCTGAGGGAGGAAGAGAAGAGAGATGAGAGGACCTGACGGGCGTCGCCTGCTACCGCTGACTCCCACAGCTCCTGATCGATCTATAGAAGGGGCAGGGGTCAAGGAGGCGACGAGACGAGCGGGTGAACTTGTACCGCATTCAGCCACTGCTTGTGAAGCTCGTCAGCGTCAAGCTTTCCCTGTTCGACGGCTTTCAAGGAGAACGCAGGTCAGTCAAGCATCAGACAGGCACATGAGGTGGTACCGAACATGTAATCCAAGTAGTGCTTGGTCCTGTTGGGATCGTTGATGTAATCGTCCAATTCTTCCTCTTTGTGCTCAGGTTCTTCTTCTTCGGGTATGTCCCAAGGCAGTCGGAGTCTGCTGCAGTCGCTGCAGTACTCTGCTTCCTCCACGTAATCCCTGACCCCTCCCCGCAAGCGAAGTCCTATGTGGGCAGGGCTACAGGAACCCTTGAAATTGGACGAAGTTGGCGCTGCGCAGCCGATGTGCCGAGGCGATTGTAGCCATGAGAGGAGGACGAGGCATGGAAGAATTCTCGAGCAGCTCGACCTCAACATCGTTGATAATCGTTGGATCCTCAAAACATTCACTTCTTCCCTTGTTCTTTCTCTTCCGCTCTCAACCTCCAAGAATTCCGTACCGATCCCTCTCTTTGCGCTCTTTCACTCTTTTTCTACTGGGATCTCCCCCTGTCTGTCCCAGTCCCTGTATGCTTGCCAGGTCTGCCTCTTTCTCGCGCACCCCCCCATCAGCTCCTCCTCTCCTCCCCTTTTTGCTCGTTCTCTCCTTTCCTTCTCCTGATCTTCGTTCTCCTCCTCTTTCTCCTCCTGTCCTGTCCTGTCCTGTCCTGTCCTGTCCTGTCCTGTCCTGTCCTGTCCTCTCCTGTCCTGTCCTCTTCTCCTCGGACTCAAAGGGGCTTCATCGGTGGCTTCATCGGAGCGAGCAACGTCGTTACATACCCGTTACAGTCCATCCTGCCCTATGGTGGAGGCCGTGGGAGAATGGAGGGAGGGGAGGAGGAAGGAGAAGAGGGAGGAGAGGAGGAGGAGGAAGGAAACGAGTAGAATGAGCTCGCAATGAGCGAATCGAATGGCAGGAGGGAGGATAGAGATGAGGAGGGGGGGGGGGGGGGGGGGTGGACAAGGGCAGCAGCAGGGGAGGACGAGGACGAGGACGAGGAGGAAGATAGACCTTAGACAACTGCTCCAGCGGGAAGGGGAGGGGAGTGTAGGAACAAGGTGGAAGGATCAAGTGCAGATAGCTCTGCCCCGTGTCTTCTCCGTGCTGCTCATGCTGAGATGATAGGAACCTAGTCAAGTTCGACGCACATGCCGGAACGTGAAGGTGGGAGGAGATGATGAAGAAGGGGGTCGTGAGATGGTCCAAACGTCTCGCTCGCTTCCTCGTGTCTCGTGTGCTGCGTTGCGGTCCCATCCCGAAGCATGTCGCCTTCATCATGGACGGGAATCGAAGGTCTGGAGGTTCGAGGAGGATGAAGAGGTTGAGTGAAGGGTCAGGTGGGCGGAGAGGAGGAGGATGATGAGGCAAGAAGGGCATGCGTATGGCTTCCTGCAGCTCAAAGAATGCTTGAAATGGTGCCTGGACCTGGGAATCAAAGTCGTCACGGTGAGAGAGCTGTAAGTTGACGAGCGATGACGATTTGATCAGGTTTATGCTTTCAGCTTGGAAAACTTCAAGCGGTCAGCTGTTGAGGTGCGGAGGAGGATAATGGAGAGAAGGGGGAAGATTAAAGGAGAGAGGATGAGAGGATGAGAGGAGAGAGGACGAGAGGACGAGAGGAGGGGGAAAGAAGGGCGGGGGGGAGGGGAGGGGAGAGGAGAGAGAGAGAGAG